CATTGCTTACATATATGTATAAAAAGAAAATGTACGAGCTGTAAAAACTGTTTCTGATAGAATGAATAATAGACCGATATATTAAATATTCCTTTATTGGGTGAGAAAATCATACTATGTCATAACTGCTTTAAGTCATACAGAATAGATATCAGAGCCTTAAACTGGCTGACTTCTGCTAAAACATTACAAATACAAATTTTTAGGTCCATTCTGCTGCTGATACATACTTTAGGTTTCTGAATGTTAAACTTGTTGCTGCCTTTCATAGTGTGTAACTTGAAGGCCCTGAGTACTTTCTCCCACACTGAAAACACCGGAATGATGGAATGATAAAATTGTTTGAACATTACCTAATAAGACTGATTCAGGACAGACAATTAGTTATGTGAAACTTTTCTAGCAGTCCTTCACAAACAGGGAACAGTCCGTCTATTCTCTCCATCTGTCAGCTGCTGCTGGCTCTTCCTCCTCCTCTTCCTCACACACTGCTGAGTTTGTCCTGGTGGATCATCAGGGGTGCAAAGCCTCACAGATGATGTGCAGCAGTGGGTCCCTCAGTCTGTCCTCACTCTGCACACTTGCAGTTGTCACACATGGAAATCAAATGTGTGATAAGCTGCAGGATTCAAACACAAGTGTAACTTATAAATACATGTTCATACTTTTGTTACACAATCAGAGAGAAAGAAAAAGAGAGAGAAAGAGTGCAGGACAGACAGACAGGTGACAGTCTCAGGTGTTTACACTGCTACAAAACAGCACAAGAGAAGGAGGATTTAGTGTTTGTGTTATTACGAGTGCTAAACAAGAAGAGTTCCCAGATGGTACAGTGGACACATGTGTGACTGCTGTGATTAAAGCATCTTTCATTCAGCTTAATGAGTGAACTGTCAACTCGTTCAAACACATGTTAAAGTCCGTTTTGCTCGACACCACCGAACAGAGGCAGCAATAAAACATAGCTAACATTAACAGTGCAGTGAATCCTGCTTGTGCCGTGATATTCAGGACTGCAAACCGAGCAGCATCACTGACTTACAGCTTGTTGTGTTTGTGGATATATGACTGACTTTAATTATCCACGAAATCATCACATTCTCTGTAAGATTAAGGTTTTAAAAGCAAGTAAAAGCTGAACGTACAAACATCACTAATGGCAAATAACTTTGCCGACATGTGGCCAACAGTAATGTTTTAATGTTCCTCATTATTAAACATTTGCACATAAATGAGTGACATAATATTCAGTACTTAATTTACTCTTCGGCCGCTCTGCTTCTGCCGTCTGCGGCAGAATTATCCACGCTATGAATTGTGGGATATATGGGACCACGAAGTCTACACTGCCACAGCCATAAAATTCAGGGAAATGAAGGACGCATTTGAAGGCCACATTTCGAGCAGCCTTTGAATTGGGACAGCCTTCGGCGCGCCACTGTGACGTAATCGGCCTTAAAATGCAACCTTTAAGGCTGCAGTCCCTGAATTGGGATACAGCCTTTAATTATCCATAAAATCAGCACATTCTTTTTAAGATTAAGACTGACTATTGAACGGCGTATATTTTGAAGTAAAGGCTTTAAAACCTTTACTTTAAAAATGTACAAACATCGCTAATGTCACATAACTTTGCCGACATGTGGCCAACAGTAATGTTTTAATGTTCTTCATTATTAAACATTTGCGCATAAAAAAGTGACATAATATTCAGTACCTACTTATGAAAGTTTACTCTCCGGCTGCTCGGCTTTCGCCATTTTTTTTGGAAAAATTATCCCGACAACCGCCGCACTATGAAGTCTGAGGTATGTTGGACCATGAAGGCTACACCGACCCATCCTTGAAATTCAGGGAAATGAAAGACGCATTTGAGGGCCGCATTTAGAGCAGCCTTTGAATTGGGACAGCCTTCATCGCGTCGCTGTGAAGTAATCGGTCTTGAAATGCAGCCTTTAAGACTGCAGACCCTGGGTGTGTCCTTCAAAAGAGACTCTACGAGTTCTCAAACGAGGCTCGAAAGGCCAGGTTAGGGAAGCCATGAATTTGGCCTTATCAGTGAGAGATCGGGCCACGTAAGCTTTATGACCGTCATTGGCAGATGATGCTCTGGCTCAATAGGTGGATCCACTGTGCATGTGGCAGGTAGGACTACGTTTTTAAGAGCGTGATACATGGGAGAAATGCTGTGGCATGCACTTATTTCAAGCAACAATCAATTATTTCAAGCAACAATCAAGCAATATCCACCAGCCACGTGAGCAATCCAACACCAGCAGTTCACTCAAACAGACTCCAACGAACGTTCGTGAAAAGAGGGAACTTCTGCCAGACCACTTGGCCTAACGGACAAGGCGTCTGACTTCGGATCAGAAGATTGAGGGTTCAAGTCCCTTCGTGGTTTGTTGTGAGTCCTTGAGGAGCAGGCATGCGTTCCCAGTTGGATTGCAGCAGGCCAACCTCGGATCCTTTATGTCATCCAAAATTGCTACACTTTTGTCAATTTCATGTCCTTCAACAGAGACTCTACGAGTTCTCAAACGAGGCTCGAATGGCCAGGTTGCGTACTGAAGCCATGAACTTGGCCTTATCAGTGCCAGGCCCCAGTGGTCTTTGCTTAGAAGCAACCATAGAAAGTCAATAACATGCCATGACCTCAAGCGACATGGGTGAAAAAATCACGACTTGGAAGCAGGCTGTTGGTGGAACTACACCTGCATAGGTGGCTTCTGATCAGTAGGAGCTTCCAAGAGTTGGCTTTCATTGGTACTGCTTGAAGTAATTTCTTGTGAACACACATTTCTCTTGTGTTGTTAACAGTTCTTCCACCCTCTTTTTTGGTATATCAGTCAACAGAATGATGTTGTAGGCCGGTTAGCTCAGCTGGTCAGAGCGTGGTGCTAATAACGCCAAGGTCATGGGTTCAATCCCCATACTGGCCATCCAAAGCCATCCAACGTACTGTCTCGTGATAGACTGTGGATTTTTTTGGGTGGGATCCAAGAAAAAACTCTGCCAACTTCCAGGTGAGTGATGTACGCAACTACAAATGACAGCAAACCACAAAATTCACTGACACATGACACGCTAATGAATACATTACATGCTTAGCTACAATCTCCAAATCACTTTTCCAGCTACTTCTGGATAAATCACTCATTTCCAAGTCTGACACAGCATACTGCATCAAAACTGCTGCTTTATATCCTCACCTAACGACCTAACTTAGAAGACGCACACCATGTATTGTTTTGTGCAAATTTCTTCTTAAAGCATTTTTGTAAGTCAACAGAAGACTTCTTTTTTTCCCACTAGTTGAAGTAATTTCGTGTAAACACACATTTCTCTTGTGTTCTTACAGTTCTTCCACCCTCTCTTTTCTGGCATATTAGTCAACAAAAGGATGGGTTCACACACATTTTGTAGGCCGGTTAGCTCAGCTGGTCAGAGCGTGGTGCTAATACGCCAAGGTCATGGTTCAATCCCCATACTGGCCATTCCAGCAGCCATCCAACGTGCTGTCTCATGATAGAATGTGGATTTTATAGGGTGGGATCCAACAAAAAACCTCTGCCAACTTCCAGGTGACAGATCGGGCCACGTAAGCTTTATGACCTTCATTGGCAGATAATACTCTGGCTTAGTGGGTGGATCCACTGTGCATGTGGCAGGTAGGACTACATTTTAAGAGCGTGATACATGGGAGAAATGCTGTGGCATGCACTTATTTCAAGCAACAATCAATTATTTCAAGCAACAATCAAGCAATATCCACCAGCCACGTGAGCAACCCAACACCAGCAGTTGATTCAACCAGACTCCAACGAACGTTCGTGAAAAGAGGGAGCTTCTGCCAGACCACGTGGCCTAACGGACAAGGCGTCTGACTTCGGATCAGAAGATTGAGGGTTCAAGTCCCTTCGTGGTTTGTTGTGAGTCCTTGAGGAGCAGGCATGCGTTCCCAGTTGGATTGCAGCAGGCCAACCTGGATCCTTTATGTCATCCAAAATTGCTACACTTTTGTCAATTTCATGTCCTTCAACAGAGACTCTACGAGTTCTCAAACGAGGCTCGAATGGCCAGGTTGCGGACTGAAGCCATGAACTTGGCCTTATCAGTGCCAGGCCCCAGTGGTCTTGGCTTAGAAGCAACCATAGAAAGTCAATAACATGCCATGACCTCAAGCGACATGGGTGAAAAAATCACGACTTGGAAGCAGGCTGTTGGTGGAACTACACCTGCATAGGTGGCTTCTGATCAGTAGGAGCTTCCAAGAGTTGGCTTTCATTGGTACTGCTTGAAGTAATTTCTTGTAAACACACATTTCTCTTGTGTTGTTAACAGTTCTTCCACCCTCTTTTTTGGTATATCAGTCAACAGAATGATTTTGTAGGCCGGTTAGCTCAGCTGGTCAGAGCGTGGTGCTAATAACGCCAAGGTCATGGGTTCAATCCCCATACTGGCCATTCCAACAGCCATCCAACGTACTGTCTCATGATAGACTGTGGATTTTTTTGGGTGGGATCCAAGAAAAAACCTCTGCCAACTTCCAGGTGAGAGTACGCAACACAAATGACACAAACCACAAAACACTGACAATGACACTAAAATACATTACATGCAGATTTTTATTCTGGAAATCCAAAATCACCTTCTTGCCAACTTTACGCAATCTAGCCATTTGCATGGCTATGTAAATGTTGCTACATCCATCATTCCAGCTACTTTTGGATTTCTTTGTTGACACAGCATACTGCAATAAAACTGCTGCTTTATATCTCACCTAACGACCTAACTTTAGAAGACGCACACCATGTATTGTTTTGTGCAAATTTCTTCTTAAAGCATTTTTTGTAAGTCAACAGAAGACTTCTTTTTTTCCCACTATGTTGAAGTAATTTCTTGTAACACACATTTCTCTTGTGTTCTTAACAGTTCTTCCACCCTCTCTTTTTTGGCATATTAGTCAACAAAAGGATGGGTTCACACACATTTAGTAGGGCCGGTTAGCTCAAGCTGGTCAGAGCGTGGTGCTAATAACGCCAAGGTCATGGGTTCAATCCCCATACTGGCCATTCAACAGCCATCCAACGTGCTGTCTCATGATAGAATGTGGATTTTATAGGGTGGGATCCAACAAAAAACCTCTGCCAACTTCCAGGTGACAGATCGGGCCACATAAGCTTTATGACCTTCATTGGCAGATAATACTCTGGCTTAGTGGGTGGATCCACTGTGCATGTGGCAGGTAGGACTACGTTTTTAAGAGCGTGATACATGGGAGAAATGCTGTGGCATGCACTATTTCAAGCAACAATCAATTATTTCAAGCAACAATCAAGCAATATCCACCAGCCACGTGAGCAACCCAACACCAGCAGTTGATTCAACCAGACTCCAACGAACGTTCGTGAAAAGAGGGAACTTCTGCCAGACCACTTGGCCTAACGGACAAGGTGTCTGACTTCGGATCAGAAGATTGAGGGTTCAAGTCCCTTCGTGGTTGTTGTGAGTCCTTGAGGAGCAGGCATGCGTTCCCAGTTGGATTGCGCAGCACCTCGATCCTTTTGTCATCAAATTGCTACACTTTTGTCAATTTCATTCCTTCAAGAGCTCTACGATTCTCAACGAGGCTCGATGGCCAGGTTGCGGACTGAAGCATGAACTTGCCTTATCAGTGCCAGCCCCGTGGTCTGGCTTAGAAGCAAAGAAAGCAAAACATGCCATGACCTAAGCGACATGGGTGAAAAATCACGACTTGGAAGCAGTGTTGTGAACTACACCTGCATAGGTGCTTCTGATCAGTAGGGCTTCCAAGTTGCTTTCATGGTACTGCTTGAGTAATTTCTTGTAAACACACATTTCCTTGTGTTGTTAACAGTTCTTCCACCCTCTTTTTTGGTATATCAGTCAACAGATTTGAGGCGGTTAGCTCAGCTGTCAGAGCGTGGTGCTAATACCCAAGGTCATGGTTCAATCCCCATACTGGCCATTCAACAGCCATCCACGTCTGTCCATATAGGTTGGATTTTTGGGTGGGATCCAGAAAAACCTTTGCCACTCCAGGTGAAGTCGGCCGTAAGCTTTAGACCTATGGCAGATAGACCGCATATGTGATCACTGGACATGACGTGACAACGTCTCTTCGAATCAGAAGATTACGGTTCCAATCCTTCCAGTGTTCTGGATGAACAGTGCAATTGCGTTTCATGTTGCCAGGCCAATCGGACTTATGCATCCAAAAATGCTGCTTTCAATTCCTGACCTCAACGACCAGAGGAACTTAGAGCTTGGGCCAAGCAGGTTTGGTGAAGCTAAATTTCCATCATGAGGGCATGGTCTTGGATCAGAAGGAACTGTTTGGCTTCCTCCATAGTACAGGGGCTTGAAGTATGTTCTTGGTAAACACACATTTCTCTTGTGTTGTTAACAGTTCTTCCACCCTCTTTTTTGGTATATCAGTCAACAGAATATTTTGTAGCGGTTACTCAGCTGGTCAGAGCGTGTGCTAATAACCCAAGGTCAGGTTCAATCCCCATACTGGCCATTCCAACAGCCATCCAACGTACTGTCTCATGATAGACTGTGGATTTTTTTGGGTGGGATCCAAGAAAAAACCTCTGCAACTTCCAGGTGAGTGATGTACGCAACTACAAATGACAGCAAACCACAAATTCACTGACACATGACACGCTAATGAATACATTACATGCTTAGCTACAATCTCCAAATCACTTTTCCAGCTACTTTCTGGATAAATCACTCATTTCCAAAGTCTGACACAGCATACTGCATCAAAAACTGCTGCTTTATATCCTCACCTAACGACCCTAACTTTAGAAGACGCACACCATGTATTGTTTTGTGGCAAATTTCTTCTTAAAGCATTTTTTGTAAGTCAACAGAAGACTTTTTTTTCCCACTATGTTGAAGTAATTTCTTGTAAACACACATTTCTCTTGTGTTCTTAACAGTTCTTCCACCCTCTCTTTTTTGGTATATTAGTCAACAAAAGATGGGTTCACACACATTTTGTAGGCCGGTTAGCTCAGCTGGTCAGAGCGTGGTGCTAATAACGCCAAGGTCATGGGTTCAATCCCCATACTGGCCATTCAACAGCCATCCAACGTGCTGTCTCATGATAGAATGTGGATTTTATAGGGTGGGATCCAACAAAAAACCTCTGCCAACTTCCAGGTGACAGATCGGGCCACGTAAGCTTTATGACCTTCATTGGCAGATACTACTCTGGCTTAGTGGGTGGATCCACTGTGCATGTGGCAGGTAGGACTACGTTTTTAAGAGCGTGATACATGGGAGAAATGCTGTGGCATGCACTTATTTCAAGCAACAATCAATTATTTCAAGCAACAATCAAGCAATATCCACCAGCCACGTGAGCAACCCAACACCAGCAGTTGATTCAACCAGACTCCAACGAACGTTCGTGAAAAGAGGGAACTTCTGCCAGACCACGTGGCCTAACGGACAAGGTGTCTGACTTCGGATCAGAAGATTGAGGGTTCAAGTCCCTTCGTGGTTTGTTGTGAGTCCTTGAGGAGCAGGCATGCGTTCCCAGTTGGATTGCAGCAGGCCAACCTCGGATCCTTTATGTCATCCAAAATTGCTACACTTTTGTCAATTTCATGTCCTTCAACAGAGACTCTACGAGTTCTCAAACGAGGCTCGAATGGCCAGGTTGCGGACTGAAGCCATGAACTTGGCCTTATCAGTGCCAGGCCCCAGTGGTCTTGGCTTAGAAGCAACCATAGAAAGTCAATAACATGCCATGACCTCAAGCGACATGGGTGAAAAAATCACGACTTGGAAGCAGGCTGTTGGTGGAACTACACCTGCATAGGTGGCTTCTGATCAGTAGGAGCTTCCAAGAGTTGGCTTTCATTGGTACTGCTTGAAGTAATTTCTTGTAAACACACATTTCTCTTGTGTTGTTAACAGTTCTTCCACCCTCTTTTTTGGTATATCAGTCAACAGAATGATTTTGTAGGCCGGTTAGCTCAGCTGGTCAGAGCGTGGTGCTAATAACGCCAAGGTCATGGGTTCAATCCCCATACTGGCCATTCCAACAGCCATCCAACGTACTGTCTCATGATAGACTGTGGATTTTTTTGGGTGGGATCCAAGAAAAAACCTCTGCCAACTTCCAGGTGAGTGATGTACGCAACTACAAATGACAGCAAACCACAAAATTCACTGACACATGACACGCTAATGAATACATTACATGCTTAGCTACAATCTCCAAATCACTTTTCCAGCTACTTTCTGGATAAATCACTCATTTCCAAAGTCTGACACAGCATACTGCATCAAAAACTGCTGCTTTATATCCTCACCTAACGACCCTAACTTTAGAAGACGCACACCATGTATTGTTTTGTGGCAAATTTCTTCTTAAAGCATTTTTTGTAAGTCAACAGAAGACTTTTTTTTCCCACTATGTTGAAGTAATTTCTTGTAAACACACATTTCTCTTGTGTTCTTAACAGTTCTTCCACCCTCTCTTTTTTGGCATATTAGTCAACAAAAGGATGGGTTCACACACATTTTGTAGGCCGGTTAGCTCAGCTGGTCAGAGCGTGGTGCTAATAACGCCAAGGTCATGGGTTCAATCCCCATACTGGCCATTCCAACAGCCATCCAACGTGCTGTCTCATGATAGAATGTGGATTTTATTGGGTGGGATCCAACAAAAAACCTCTGCCAACTTCCAGGTGACAGATCGGGCCACGTAAGCTTTATGACCTTCATTGGCAGATAATACTCTGGCTTAGTGGGTGGATCCACTGTGCATGTGGCAGGTAGGACTACATTTTTAAGAGCGTGATACATGGGAGAAATGCTGTGGCATGCACTTATTTCAAGCAACAATCAATTATTTCAAGCAACAATCAAGCAATATCCACCAGCCACGTGAGCAACCCAACACCAGCAGTTGATTCAACCAGACTCCAACGAACGTTCGTGAAAAGAGGGAGCTTCTGCCAGACCACGTGGCCTAACGGACAAGGCGTCTGACTTCGGATCAGAAGATTGAGGGTTCAAGTCCCTTCGTGGTTTGTTGTGAGTCCTTGAGGAGCAGGCATGCGTTCCCAGTTGGATTGCAGCAGGCCAACCTCGGATCCTTTATGTCATCCAAAATTGCTACACTTTTGTCAATTTCATGTCCTTCAACAGAGACTCTACGAGTTCTCAAACGAGGCTCGAATGGCCAGGTTGCGGACTGAAGCCATGAACTTGGCCTTATCAGTGCCAGGCCCCAGTGGTCTTGGCTTAGAAGCAACCATAGAAAGTCAATAACATGCCATGACCTCAAGCGACATGGGTGAAAAAATCACGACTTGGAAGCAGGCTGTTGGTGGAACTACACCTGCATAGGTGGCTTCTGATCAGTAGGAGCTTCCAAGAGTTGGCTTTCATTGGTACTGCTTGAAGTAATTTCTTGTAAACACACATTTCTCTTGTGTTGTTAACAGTTCTTCCACCCTCTTTTTTGGTATATCAGTCAACAGAATGATTTTGTAGGCCGGTTAGCTCAGCTGGTCAGAGCGTGGTGCTAATAACGCCAAGGTCATGGGTTCAATCCCCATACTGGCCATTCAACAGCCATCCAACGTGCTGTCTCATGATAGACTGTGGATTTTTTTGGGTGGGATCCAAGAAAAAACCTCTGCCAACTTCCAGGTGAGTGATGTACGCAACTACAAATGACAGCAAACCACAAAATTCACTGACACATGACACGCTAATGAATACATTACATGCTTAGCTACAATCTCCAAATCACTTTTCCAGCTACTTTCTGGATAAATCACTCATTTCCAAAGTCTGACACAGCATACTGCATCAAAAACTGCTGCTTTATATCCTCACCTAACGACCCTAACTTTAGAAGACGCACACCATGTATTGTTTTGTGGCAAATTTCTTCTTAAAGCATTTTTTGTAAGTCAACAGAAGACTTCTTTTTTTCCCACTATGTTGAAGTAATTTCTTGTAACACACATTTCTCTTGTGTTCTTAACAGTTCTTCCACCCTCTCTTTTTTGGTATA